AATTGTATATAAATAAAATTATACATAAGATATTAAAATATCTTATGTATAATTTTATTTATATACAATTGTGATTAGACGGAAAAAAACACGAGTAATGTAATTCGTCAACTGCTTACGTCCATCTGTTACTCTCTCTGTCTCATAGTTCGGACCGTGCTCGTAAGCACTCTGTTCTCAGACACACTTAATATGAGAGACCAAGCTTCATAACCCCCAAAACTAAAGACAGAAGAACAGTCTTGTAAGTTGTAACCCGTGGAAAAATGATTCTGAACCCATTGGTGGCAAGCTTTTATTGGATTTTAGGCTCTTGAAGGCAGCATGCACTACGTAATTATTATTTGTTGATTCCACAAGATATTTACCGAGAAATATACAAAGCGTGCTATTTAAAACACAACCCAACAGCAATCAGGAACTTCGACACAAAATGAAAACAGAATATGGTCCACCCCAGTGTAAAAGACTCGCTCAAACTCCCCTGAGACACTTAAGGTCACCCTAGTTCAAGGGTGGGGAACCTTTTCATGTTGGAAGGCCGCATTCAAGAGACTTCAATTAGATATACTTAAAAATGTACATTATTTTGCAAAAATCTTAACTACTATGTACTTAATAATTTCAAAAAATGAAAACTATTTTTTAATTTTAAAGTTGACTAATCTTTTAATGACTTTTTTTGAATGTTTGGTTGCAGCATAGAGTTTCAGTTGATCCTGTAGATAGGAATCCGTCAATTGTGACCTAAAGGACGTCTTGAAAAATATATTAATAAAAATAAAAGGATTTGTTCTGTAAAATTTGGATTCAGTCACAAAAGGCCGCACTTAAGGACCTAGAAGGTCACAGGTTTCCCACCCCTGCACTAGTTGCTAGGTCGCCATTTGCGAAATATTCGCGGTTAGAATAATTCTGGAAGATTATTTCTCAACGTAGTCGTTTGTTTGCTGATCATGAAATATTTATCAACGTGTATTCTGACGATGAGATGTCAAATAATACAACGATACGCCGACTAATAACAAACTTTCAGAAGACAGGAAGTGTCTGTGGCAAGAGTTCGCCGAGTGACAAAGCAGCTTAAATTTACCGATTTCACCGATGAATAAGATGCAAAAACTTAAATTGGATGCAAGATTCAGTATCGCCGTGGTTTTGTCGTTTTTGTGTGTGAAGGTGTTTATGGGTTGCGTTTTAAATATCCCAGACTCTACTCACTTCATTGTTTGCGTACTCTGTAAGACGCAAAACCCAGTCAGTGCCCAGAGATTCTTGTACCACTCCACCGGAAGTAATCAGCGATACTCACCAGAAGCTTCATGGTTCCTGTGTGTCTGATCCCGGCAGGCGAGAAGTTGTAACAACTGAGAATCGTCTGTCGCTTTTATACGCATTCTACTTTCGCCTTCCGCTGGCTTTCTTTCCCCTCCGGCCAAAACGTCCTCCTCAGTCGTCAAATCGGCTTCATGCACGTTTTCCACACAACCTCCTCCATGTATTTCCGGTCCTGGGGCTATATTTCTCGCAGA